CTGGTATTAGACACATTTAAAGTGGCTATTGATATAGCTGAATTTATATCTACCATATGTGAGAATCAGCTTAGGTTGGGTCTTTTTCTGTCAAAGGATTTAAGCAGTAACCACCTCTGTTACAAATGTTAATCTGTCTAACTCGCTTTATGGACTCTGCTTAATGTGATAAAAGTTTCTATTAAGAACAAGGGGTTGTTATCCTCTGCCAGACCAAATTCCGCTAGATGTCGTAGTTCTGGAGCTGATAACCTAGAACAGTTATTGCTTCCCTGAGCGTTGAAACATCTTTGTCTTCAAAGCCCCCTTCTGATATCCTCTTTCCAATTAGCCAACTGCGTAGACTGTGAACCCAAAACCTGCCCAGTTCAGGGGAAGGACAGCACGGCATCAGAGATAAAAATCCCAGCAGACTCCCCGCTGGGTGTGCTTGCTCTTTGTCAGTGGTGCACCCTTCTGAAGAAGTAAATTTTGCCTTGCTTGTTTTCTTCTGAGATGTGGCATCTCTCTCTTGTGACACCCCAATATCTTAAAGATATTTCTTTTTTTTTTTTTTCATTTTTCTTTTATTATTCATATGTGCATACAAGGCTTGGTTCATTTCTCCCCCCTGTCCCCACCCCCTCCCTTACCACCCAGTCCGCCCCCTCCCTCTCCCCCCGCCCTCAATACCCAGCAGAAACTATTTTGCCCTTATCTCTAATTTTGTTGTAGAGAGAGTATAAGCAATAATAGGAAGGAACAGGGTTTTTGCTGGTTGAGATAAGGATAGCTATACAGGGCATTGACTCACCATATTTATTACTGTTTATTTGTTGCCCTCTTTGTTTTTTCTTCCACTCTCTCTCTGCCATTTGTGGGCTTTTTGTTTTGTTTGGTTTTGCTGTTTTTTTCCTGCAGCACTGGGGTTTGAACTCAGGGCCTCATGCTTGCTAGACAGGCACCATTTATGGCTTAATTGAACACTTTATATGATTTTCTTTTCTCCTTTCTTAACATTATCAATTATATTTCTTCTTTACCTTTTTTAGTGGTTTCCCTAAAGTTTGAGATACACACTCACAACTAATGCAAGTCCACTTTAAAGTCCTCTAACACTGTAGGCTGGGCACAGTGGTTCGTGTCCGTAATCACAGCTACTCGGGAAGCAGAGATTGTGAAGATTGCGATTTGAGGTCAATTCAGACAAAAAGTGAGACATCTCAAACAACAAGCTGTATGTCGGGACTCATGCCTATGCATACATAGGCGCACCACAGTGATCCAGGGCAAGAAATTCAAGATTCTACCTGAAAAACAACTAAAAAGCCAAAGAGGGCTGAGGGTGTAGCTCCAGTGGTAGAGTGCTGATGCTCAGTTGAAACCCAAGTACCACAAAAAAGAAAGAAAGGAATGCAGGGAGGGGAGGAAATGAGACCCAGCAATAAAAGCACTGTAGTATTAGTATCTTGTAGTAACAGTATAACTTTTTTTTTTCTTGGCTGTACTGAGGTTTGAACTCAGGGCCTCATGCTCACTAGGCACGTGTGTACCACTTGAGCCACTCCACCAGCCCAGTATCTTGTAATAACAAAGTATTCCTAATTCCTCTCTCCCATGTCTCACATCATAAGTGTCATTCATTTTACTCACTTCACTTTATGCATACATAATACAATACATTGTTGAAGTTTCTGTCCCTTCTTTTTTTTTCCTTGGTGGTACTGGGGCTTCGACTCAGGGCTTCACACTTGCTAGGCAGGCGCTGTACCTCTTGAGCTACTCTGTCAGCCCAAAGTTTCTGTTAGATTAAGAATAAAAGAAAAAGTTTTTGTTTATCATTACTTATTCCCTCTTGTATGCATGTGTGTATTTTAAATACAGGCTTGACATTCTATCAGTTTCCTCCTGTGTGAAGAACTTCTTTTAATGTTTCTTTCAGCATTTTCCCAAATGTTTGAGAAAGTGTTTATTTCTCCATCTTTGTTATCTACTTTTATTGACAGGGTCTCAGTATGTATCCCAGGCTGGCTTGCAACTTGCTGTGTAGCTGGGGCTGGTCTCAAACCTAAAATCCTCCTGCCTCAGCCTCCCCATTGCTGGAATTACAGGTGTGTGCCACCATACCTGGTTTTTCCTTAATTTCTGAAGTATTATTTCTCAGGATGTAGAATTCTAGTTGGTTGAGTTTTTTTGCTCAACACTTAAAATATAAGTTCTTATTTCCCTGGGTTTTGAGAAGCTATTGAATCTAATTCTTATCTTTGTTTCTCTGTAGTAGGGTGTGTTTCCCCCTCTGCCTTTTAAGAAATTTTAATCTTTCATTTCTGAGTTTGAATAGGATATGCCTTGGCATAGTTTTGGGGCATTTATCCTGACTTATGTTCTACAAGTTTCCCTGGTTTATGGTTTGATGTCTGACAAAAATTTGGGGAAATGCTCAATGATTATTACTTCAGATATTTCTGTGTTCCTTTTTGTTTTAATCCTGCTTTGTGTAAAATTTACATGTTGTATAGTTATCCTACAGTACTTTGGTGTTCTGTTTTTTTATTTTGTTTTCCTCTTTCCCTCTACTCTCCCTCCTTTTCATCTCCTCCTCCCTGCTCCTTTCTCTCCTAAGAACAAGCTATGTGTGAATTAAAAAAAACATTTGTATGTCCCTACTATAAACTGTTACTCAGCATTAAAACTGAACGAACTGTTGATACTTGCAGTAACATGGATGAATCAAAGGTCATAGTGCAATATAATTGAGAGTTCAGGGATTTGAAACTGTGCCTGAGTTCGAATCTGAGCTCAGCTATTCATTGACAAGCCACTTGTCCTGTCTGAAACCCAGTGTCCATAACATGGAAGAAGAATATTTCCTTGTTTGTTCATTCATTTGTTTGTGAGATAGGGTCTCTGTGTGTAGCCCAGGCTGGCCGCTTGCCTCAGCCTCCTGAGTGCTGGTGTATGCTACCACACCCAAATAGGAAGAAGAAAATTTTTTAATGGGTGTGATTATTATGAAATTTAGTTAGAATGTGGATGAAACCTGTTTTTAAACTATGAAGTCCTTCAGTTATTATCACTTTTCTTAAATGGGCACAAATTATTCCTTTATACTCATGTCATCACATTATCCAGGTAGAGAAAGCTCAATGCACATCATGATTTTTTTTTTTTATTTATTTTGTTGGTGTTTTGTTTATTACAGGAGAAGTAACCATCAAAGCTTCCTATTTTTCCTGGGAGAGAACAAAGACTGATTTCTCCTCAAATCCCTAAGCTGTAGGTTATATGCAAATATTATGCCATTTGATATGAAACCCTAGCACCTGTGGATTTTGGTATAGGGATACAGGGGGAGGCGCTCTGGAACCAGTCCCCTGTGGATACGAAGAGAAGATATACTTACTCTTCCAGCTGAGATCAAGAAATCAGCTGGGTCTGAATTCTGGTGCTGGTTCTGCCCCTAGCTTCACATGGTGATTTTTAAGTGTAGATTTTTGTTAGTAAGATCACTGGGCTAGCATGTGATGCATACTGCTAAATTGCCTTCCAGAGAGGATGTGCTAATAGAACCTTGTTGGGCCAGTACAGGAGACCTGGGTCTGTTACAGCTTTTAAAGTTTTTATCACTTGGCATTTTGACATTTACTTATATGTTGTATACATTATTTGGGCCATCACCTCCCTTCCCCCATGTTACATTTTTAAAGAAATCTTCATACTATTGCATTTGTAATTCTTCCCTTGCTAGCAATATGATGTATGTATATTTTCTGTCTTTTGCCAAAATGTTAGACTTGGTTGTAAGGGGATCCGGTCATCATGGTGACCCATAGATCTCTGCCCACCCTCTCACACCCCCCCCCACTGGGGATTGAACTCAGGGCTTCTCACATTCTAGGCAAGCACTCTGCCACATGGGGCATGTCCTCAGTCCTTTGTATTTTGTTTTTGAGATGTATTCTCTTGCTAACTTTTCCCTGACTGGTCTTGAACTGCAATCCTATTGTCTCTGCTTTTGAAGTTATTGAGATTACAAGTGTACATCACCTCATTTGGACCATGAAATTAAAAAAAAATTATTTTTGGTGCTACTAGAGTCTGAACTTGGCCTCACCCTTGCTAGGCAGGCACTCTACCACTTGAGCCACTCCTCCAGCCCTGCAGGAATATTTCTTATCTACATACTTAGACTTAGTTTTAAAGAGGGACAGGGAGGAGAGGGAGAGATTGAGGCTTTAAATTTTTGTTTCAAAAACAGTTTTTAATCCTAAATAAATTGGAATTTTATTCTGGTTTGTATGTGGATAAAACCCTAATTATTATAACCTTCTTTACTATTTTATGGTAGATTTATGTGAATATGGCCCAAGTGGTAGAGTGCCTTCCTAGCAAATGCAAAGCCCTGTGTTCAAGCCCTAATACCACCAAGCAAACAAGCAAACTTAAAAACAGATTTATTGAGATATAACTCACATAGCATTCAATTCACCTATTGGTTTTTGGTATATTCACAGATGTACAACCATCAGTGCATTCATTGTTAGGACATTTCATCACATCATAATGAAAACCCATACCTTTTAGCTATCACACCTTATAATTTTATTATTTTCAAATGGTATTTTGTATTTTCACGTGTTATATCATGGACAGTTGTACAGGATTTGGGAAGAAGGTGTATGCTGTTAAGATTTAAAGTGCAGTAGTGGAGACTGATCAGGTTTTAAATCTGGGCAGGTCACTTAACCACTTTGTGCCTCAGGTTTCTTAGCTATAACACTGAATTAGTACTGGTGCTTGCCTCATAAGTTTATTTTAAGGATAAACAAGATAGTAAATGTGTAGAATTTGGCACATAACTGTCACATAGTGAGCAATAAATGGAGCTCAATAAATATATCATTGTTGCCGTATTTTTTAAAAAGCCAACTAGCAAGTATTTGATGTCTAAGTGCTGTTCTATATTAACTCCTTTGAGCCTTACCTTTCAGATATGTATAATTATTGTTCCTGTTTTACAGATTGGGTGCAGAGGCGGTTAAGCAACTTGGTCAGAATATCAGAACAGGTAAGTGGTGGAGGCAGGACTCTAACCTTGCTTCTCATTTTCGCTGCAGAACCTATATGCTTATCCTGTGTTCTTTTCCTTACCATCTGCTTCCTAAAATAATGAATGGTACATGGATCTCAGGCATCATGACATCTTGGCTGCTGGAGGTTCAATGTGGTTTTTAGTGCTTAGTTGAAAGGAGAACTGTAATGAATAGTGGTGTCTGGTCATCATGGTGCCTGTGTGTTTTTCATCTGTGCCAGACCATACATTGATGATAGTGCTCTACTAGCCTAGACTCCTGACCCTGAGTGGGGCCAGGGCAGTCACAGGGCACCCTTTCTGGCCTCTTGGTGGAATGTCCTTTTGAACCTGTACCACTCCCTCCTTGTGTGCTAGCAAAACCTTGGAAGACCACCTTAAATTACTTTTTTAGACTTAATTCTGGTGATCTTTCTACCTGTGAAAGATACTCCTCAACTAATCATTGTGTGTGGTGATATGAAAACCTTTGTATTGTCATCTGATACTAATTAAATTTTAATATATTTTTGCCTTAAGTGTTACTTCCAGGCAGGAAATTACGTTGTAAATGTTTTAAAATTTACTACAGTACCCCTGGAATTGATAAGTTAGTTGTTTGAAATTCAAACAAGCCAAGCCTCACAAACTTGGTCCCAAAGGTACATTGGTATGTTTTTGCAAGGAGGTGGATAGTTCCTAGGCAGGCTGTTGAATGATGTGCATTAAGTTAGGTTAGTTGCTTCTAATTGCCTGAAACTCTTGCAGACCTGTTGTTGCTTCCTTTTGAAACCTTCTTTGATTGTCTTAGTTGCTGCCTCTCCCTTAGTGTACAGGCCTCTCCCTTAGGCATGTGACTCACTGATTTGAAAGCCAGTACAGTATGGTAATTAACTACCTGCCTTCATCATATAGAGATGAGAACTTAAATGTAGGCTTCCCATCTAACACTTTCTTCCTGCATGTTTACCCACCTACTGACATGCAGCAACATGGTCCTCCACCCGGACTTCTGAGGAAGTACTCTAGTGTTTCCCCTCTTGTTGGATGTGATTAGTAATGCATATTCTTGTAGAAGAAATGGGTTTTACGTGGGTACTGTTAACTGAAAATAATTTTCAGAATGTCATTAATTTAGTCTTATTGATGCATACATCTCAAAAGGGTGACAATTGAATTTTTAATGAAGGTAATTTAAAGTTTTTAGCAAATAATAATTAAGTTAAATATTATATGACTGATTAGTTGGATTAAAGTCTGACATAATCAGTACATCCTTCAGGTGATAGGTGTTTATCCATTTTCATGAAGTGTAATTAGTTGTTTAGGAAACCGCATCCACGTAAAGGAATTCATTTCACCTTTATTACTTTGCTTTGGCAATCCAGAAAAAATACTTTAAATATAAAGTATACATCATTAGAGAGTAAATCTGTTCTGAGAAGGAAGTTTAAAGTATTCTTTGATTTGCTAAATAGGACATATAGAAATTCTATGTTTAATGTATCAGTATGGTATGGTTATATCTATTCTAGCTGCATCAAATAAAATCTTTGTAGGTTACACATAGCATAATTGAACTGCCAAAAAGAGTCCTTGCCTTCAGATTGCATATGATACTGTTTCTGAAGCGTAGACACAGTCTTTGATCTTTTAAACACAATAATCTTCCTTCCTTCCTTCTCTTCCTCTCACCTCTCCCCCCCAGCTGTCACCCCTGCCCCCACTGGGAGGGTTAAACTTGGCCTCATACTTCTTAGGCAAGTGCTTTACCACTTGGGTTGCACCCCCCAATTGTGTGTATGTGTATATGGAAAGGGACTGGGGTTTGAACTCAGAGCTTCACACTTGCAAAGCAGGCACTCTACTGCTTGAGCCATGTCTTCAGTCCATTTTAATCTGGTTATTTTGGAGATGGGGGCATCTTATGAACTGTTTGTCCAGGCTGGTCTCAAACCAAGATCCTCCCAATCTCAGCCTCTTAAGTAGCTAGGATTACAGGCATGAGCCACAGCATCCTGCTCCTTTTGGTTTTAGTTGTCTTTTGTTTTTTTTTTAAATAGCATCTCCTGCTTACTTTGCCTGGGCTTACCTCAGACTGTGATCCTCCTACCCCTGCCTCCTCAGTATCTGGGTACATGCCTGGCTGTACCCAGTTGAATTTTTCATTCAACTTACAAGTCACAATTTACTGAAAACATTTAAAATTTGAGCAAGGAATGCCTTTTGGGACTCCTTGTAGATCTGTCAAGTTCTGTCTTAATAACCTCTGTCCTACCAATATTATTTACTGAACCTTCTGTATAAAATTAAAATTTGTATCTAATCTAATAAAGTATGTGTTTCCCCATATTTTAGTTTAAAAACTATAAAGGGATAGAGAAGCTGAATGGATAGTAAACATACTCACTGTATTCACCAGCTTATTTGCTAACATGTTGCCTCACGTGCTTTCTCTGCCTTTCTCTCATTATAAAAGCATATACTTTTTTCATTGAGCCTTTTGAAAATAAGTGGTAAACATAAGTATCTTAGGAGGACCCTAAGAACAAGATTGTTTTCTTAAATAGTTATATATCAAACCTAAGAGATTTAGTATTAATACAATAGTATCTGTTGCTTTTAAATTTCCTCTATTCTCCAAAAGAGTTCTTTATAGCTGTTTTTGATACAAGATCAATCAAGGAACCTATATAGCATTCATCTGTCATAATTCTTTAGTTTCTTTTAATTTAGAATAAGCCCCCTTCCCCCAACCATGATCTTTTATAAAATCTCATTTAATTTTTCTTAAATATATATATATATATATACACACACATACACACACATACAATTTGCTGATGGTATTTCATGACTCGTATTACAAGTTAAAACTTTTTGGAATGAATTTATGTAGATGGTGTTACTTGTTTTCCATTGCATTAGAAGATGAAATAGAATCTTTTCTCCATCCTTTTTCCTTCATTTTATAACAGCTTGAACTTGTGCGTTTGTGGTGCTGGGCTTTGGGCTTGTCAGGCAGGGTTTTCAGTGCTTGAACCATGCCTCCAGCCTGGTATTCGTTTTGATGTGTTGCTGTTAAAGATTTATGATATAGTATCCTTACATTTCAGTACATGATTATGTAATACTTAATTCTTCATTCTGTTTTAGTCATGGTATACTCTGAAGATATAAAAACTGATGTAATAGACATTTGTGTACTTCATACCCAGATTTTTAAAAAAATTACCATTAATTATATTTGTTTCAAATTAAAATACAGTTTTTATTCTAAAATCTATGCTACATACAGGTGTGCGTAATAATGTAGATGTACATTTTAACTAGTAATAATAAAAATGAATAAATCTGTCTTAACCCTCTAAGAAATGTAATGTAACCTTGAACCCCCTCCATGCCGCAGGACAGTTACTTTCTTTCCTGAATTTGGTGTTATTCCCTTACCTTTATTCCCTTTAGCTTTACCACATTGGTATTTTTCCCTTTTATATATATATAAATATATATATATATAAGTTTAAATATATTTAAATAATTTAATTTAAATATATATATATATATATATATATATATATATATATATTTAGTTTTTCCTGCTTTTGAGCTTTAGATGAATGGAATTATATGTATGTATTCCTTTTGAACTTATTTTTTCATTTGACATAATTTTTGAGAATTTAAATATATATATATAATATATATAATATATATATATACTTTTAGTTTTTTCCTGCTTTTGAGCTTTAGATGAATGGAATTATATGTATGTATTCCTTTTGAACTTATTTTTTCATTTGACATAATTTTTGAGATTTTATTCATGTTAACACACATACCTGAGGTTCCTTCATTTCTGTTTCTTTTAGTTTTTCCCATTAAGAAAGTCCTGTAAATGTTGTATTTATCTTGTGGAAGCTAACTACAAAAGATTCTCTAAGTTATAGAGCTAGAAGTTTTGTCTTTGGGGTATATACACTGTCAACTAGGTAATGGCAATGTTTTAAACAGTTGTGGATTGAACCAAATAAGGAATTCAGGAGGAGCAGGTTTGTAACAGGATGAAAAATCAACATGGCGAGTTCTGTTCTCTGTGCTTTGAGTTTTAGCATATCTAGCCAGGAGCGTTGAATAGGCTTTTGAGCTGTATGTGATTTTTAGCCCCACCTATCTTTGTTTTTTCCTGGGCTGACTCATTCATATGTTTCATCTGTCCCTTCTTAAAGTGGTCTTTAAAAAAAGTTATAATTTCACACTATAAAAATTACTTTATCATATTAGCAGCCTTGCTCAGTTCTTGTGTGGTCAGTCTTAAGCCCTAATATGCAGCCTCTTTATTTCTATAGAGTTTGAATCATATTGTACATAGAGATATCTAGTCCTCATTTGTGGTGTAAATGATAAATGGGGAGAGGAAGGTATTATTAACAGCTCTACATTCTGGGTAGTTTTTAGCAAAGGGGATAAAAAGAGAGGTACAGGCTAAAACAAATACACAAGTAAATGAGCATAGCATTCTTGGAGTCATTTAGAACTAGAGCAGACATCAGCAGTAAGTATTAGTCATTCTTGATGATTTCACTATATTGTAGCAGAATTCTTTAATTGGTGTTTATAATCTTAATTCTAAATTTCTTTACAGGACTAGAGGAGTGGCTCAAGAAGTAAGTGCGCCTGCCTAGCAAGCGTGAGAAATCCTCAGTTCAAACTCCAGTCTCTCCAAAAAAAAAAAAAACCAGTAAATTTCTTTATATGCTGAGAAAGTGCAATAGTGCACATTTTAGAAGAATTGGTGAACACTTAGTGATCTAGAATTACTTTCTGACAATTCCTAATAGAAATTTTACTGTTTTATGAAGAAGCCATTCAAAGGAGCTTGCTCCATGGTATTTTTAACTTATCAGCTACTAAAACAAATGATTTATTGACTAATTTCTCAAACTCTCTACAAGAAAGAAAAATGGATACTATGTATTTATTTCTCTGTAGACTAT